GGCTGGATCCCCCTCGATTCCCAGGGGATCCCCTCGATTCCGGCTGGATCCCCCTCGATTCCCAGGGGATCCCCTCGATTCCGGCTGGATCCCCCCTCGATTCCGGCTGGATCCTCCCTTGATTCCGGCTGGATCCCCCTCGATTCCCAGGGGATCATCTCAATTCCCAGGGGATCCCCTCGATTCTGGCTGGATCCCCCCTCGATTCCAGCTGGATCCCCCCTTTTTTCCCCAGGGGATCCCCCTCGATTCCGACTGGATCCCCCCTCGATTCCGGCTGGATCCCCCTAGATTCCGGCTGGATCCTCCTCGATTCCCAGGGGATCCCCCCTCGATTCCGGCTGGATCCCCCTCGATTCCAGCTGGATCCCCCCCTTTTTTCCCCAGGGGATCCCCTCTATTCCCGCTCAATCCCGAGGGATCCCCCGGGGTCGATCCCAGCTGGATCCCCACTCACACACACAGATCCCCGCTCCTGGTGCCGGTCCCGGCGGATTCCAGGGGGATCCCGGTGGATCCGGCCAGATCCCCACTCACAAGGATCCCCGATCTCGCCACCCGTCCCGCCAGATCCCGGCTGATCCCGGCGGGATCCCAGCAGGATCCCCCCTCGCAGGGCCCCCAGTTCTTGTTGCCAGTCCCGGTGGATCCCGGTGGATCCCAGTGGATCCGCTCTCGCCGTTGCTCCCATCAGATTCCAGCAGATCCCAGCCAATTCCCGCTGATTCCAAGGGGATCCCCGCAGATCCAGCAGGATCCCCTCTCGCAGGGACCCCAGTTCTTGTTGCCAGTGGATCCCGGCAGATCCCGGTGGATCCAGCGGGATCCCCTCTCGCAGGGACCCCAGTTCTTGTTGCCAGTCCCGGTGGATCCCGGTGGATCCCAGTGGATCCGCTCTCGCCGTCGCTCCCATCAGATCCTGGCAGATCCCAGCCCATTCCCGCTGATTCCAAGGGGATCCCAGTGGATCCGGCAGGATCCCCACTGCCAGGGACCCCAGTTCTTGTTGCCAGTGGATCCCGGTGGATCCCCGGGACCGGCTCTCGCCCATTGGATCCTGGCAGATCCCGGCCAATTCCTGCTGATTCCAAGGGGATCCCGGAAGATCCAGTGGGATCCCCTCTCGCAGGGACCCCAGTTCTTGTTGCCAGTGGATCCCAGCGGATCCAGCAGGATCCCCTCTCGCAGGGACCCCAGTTCTTGTTGCCGGTGGATCCCGGTGGATCCCGGTGGATCCCGGTGGATCCCCGGGACGGGCTCTCAGCGGGGCGGGCGGCCCAGCCTGCGGAAGACGCCACCGGAGCTGCTGCTGGACACGGCGCCGTCCTGCGCCGCCGGCCCGGCGCCCTCGCGGCGCCGCTTCAGCACGCCGGCGTACGGCAGCGCCTCGGGATCCGCCGGATCCCCCGGCCGATCCCCCGGCGGATCCCCCGGCGAGTCCCCCGGTGCCGCGCCCAGGCGGCTGAACACCCCCGAGGGCTGCGGGGACGCGGGTGCAGGGTGGATCCCGGATCCCCCAGTGGGTGCAGGGTGGATCCCGGATCCCCCAGTGGGTGCAGGGTGGATCCCGGATCCCCCAGTCGGTCCAGGGTGGATCCCGGATCCCCCAGTGGGTCCCAGATCCCGCCCTGGGTCCCTGAGCCTGATCCCGCTCTGGATCCCAACTCCTGATCCTGCCCCAGATCCCAAATCCCACCCAGGATCCCGCCTGGCTGATCCCCAAGTGGATCCCAGATCCCGCCCTGGATTCCAGATCCTGCCCCAGATCCCACATGGCCCATCCCTGAGTGGATCCCAGATCCCGCCCTGGATCCCTGAGCCTGATTCCACCCTGGGTCCTGACTCCTGATCCTGCCCCGGATCCCAAATCCCGCCCAGGATCCCCCCATGCCGATCCCCAAGTGGATCCCAGATCCCGCCC